TAGCTGAGTCCAAAGAACACCCCCTAGTTTTTGACCTGAGCCAAAGGTCAGGGAACACCAGAATGTTCTACCTCGTTTATGAGCCACATGACCCCAAATCCTCACTCCTGTCTCTTCATAGTTGCCAACACCTCAGCTTCTTTCCTTGCCCCGCCCCCACTCACATGTCAACAACCCGGTAATTACTTAATAAACCTCAGAACATACCTTTGCTTCTTCTCTTGGCCGGTTTCAATTTCAAGGTGGCTCTTACTTCAGGGTTCCAAGTGCGATCATGCGGAAGAATAAATTCACCTGCCAGAGCCTCTTGAGGGAACTTTCAAACAAAACTGTGGCTTTTCAAGTATTAAGAGGAAATGACAGACTGAACTGAGCTCTCTATTCATTTTAATGCACGTGTTAAAGGTTATGTTAGCGGCTGTCAAATCTCTGGCCAACTCTAAACACATCACTCTTCACCTTAAATCAGGTGGTCTTGGGTGGTACCTGGAACCTGCTACTCTAGGCTGACTCTGAGCAAAAGGATTGTTCAAAAAGGTGAAATTTGTCTTCTAGGCCTTCCTATCACTCATGCATATATTGGCTTTATGAGCAAGAAAGCAGGAGAGCAGATGCCAAGTCTCGAGGCCTTCACTGCTTCCTGATGCAGGCTCAGATAACTAACTCCACGTGCTGGAGGTGTGGTGGCAGACCCAGACGTCTGACAAAGCATGAGCTCTGAGCATGTTTCTTACCCCACCATGATTTCTCCCGTGGGGAGTAGAGAGCAGATGTTTCTTTCCAAACCGAAGACAACCCTGAGTCCATCTCACTGCACCAACCAGAAGCAAAAGATACTAAGAGTCGAGGGTCCTAAAAAAACACACCTCACAGCTTTCAGAACCGTAACCATACTGAAAGCCAAGGCCGTCCCTGCGCCAGCCTCACTGCCCAATGGATTCCTAGGCTATTTCAGACTGTTTCCTCCTCAGAGGTCTGCGTGGGTGCTGGAGAATGGCTCTTGCCCTCTCACCAAACATTAGGTATGGCTACCAGTCCTCCACTATGTTTCTGATCCTGATACCCATTACCTACTCCCTACCCCATACCTCCAAGGCTTGGATGCAGAGTTCAACCAGGATCTGCCCTTCTGAAGCAACAACCCCGATATCTCATCCATTTTTCTAAACTTTCCAGGTTAGGGATTTTACTCCTCAGTGCCTTGTATTATATGACTCTAGAAAACCTAATTCATACTCACGTGATAATAGTTGAGAATCCTATTGTCCTCTTGGAAAAAATTGACTGTAGGCGTCACAGCCCTGGGTTTGGTCCTAGCCCCATCACATGGTACTTGGTGACGATTTCGTTTCACCTTAATTTCCTTATTTAGTAAAATGGGACCAGCTATAATAATATATCTTCTATGTAGTAGGTGTTGAATCAGTGTTAACAGAATCTGGATGATAATGCAAGCAGGCAGAGAAATGTCCTTGGTGGCTAAGCAAAAGTCCCTGAATACCTGGTACTGAAAAACATAGGATTATTTTCTATAGGTAATTCTAAATAATACGTTATTTTTAAAAAAGGCAGGAGGATTTTTAGGACAGTGAAACTATTCTGTATGTGATACTACAGCAGTGGATACATGTCATTATACGTTTGCCCAAACCCAGAGAACGTAAAACACGTAGAGCGATTCCCAATGTAAACTGTGGATTATGGGTGATGATGATGTGTTAATGGACATTCACCAACTGTACAGAGGTGCAGCTCTGGTGGGGGATGTGGTTATTTGGGGAGGCCGTGTACATGTGTGGAGGCAGGGATGGTGTGGGAACTCTACTTTTCATTCAGTTTTCCTGTGAATCTAAAAATAGTTTATTAATTTTTAAACATTACATATAAAGAGCACATTTAAGCAAAATTAAAGCCTATGATTTCTAAATAAAAGCTGGAGTTTACTCTCTCTTTTTGTGTCCCCTGCATTGCTGGTGTCCCCCACTCACTGGGTCATTCCCCTTGACCACCAACCTACGAGTTCAGGGAGGGCCACATGGTCTTCGGATTCCCCCAGGAGTTCTGCGATGGGTCAGTGTGCCAGAAAAGGGGAAGAGAATATCGTGGTTGATGACTGATGTCTGTAAAAGCACGATGTTCCCAAAAAGATAAGGAGGTGTGAGTGACGTGGTCCCACGGCACCCGCAGCAGAATCCACATCTGTGCCGGTAGACGAATCCATGCGTCACCCAAGAACAACCTGAACTTGTAGTTGACATCCCCAATTTAGAAGAAAGTGTGAAATAGCTGGAAAGATTTTCCAACAACAACAAAAAACCACTTAAGTGAAAAGGTTCTAAAGTCAAGATGACAGACAGTAGTGGTCAAATTACACATCACAGATGCAGTTCTCGTTGACCGGCACCCCCACTTATGGGAATGTCTCCCACAGGTTTCCTTGCACATGTGTGAAATGATGTACGCACAAGGTCATTCACTTGTAATTGCAGAAGTTTGGAAACCACAAGATTGTTTATCAAATAGAGGACTTTTTCAATAAATGAGGGCACGGCCACATAATGGAATATTGTACAGGTGTCAAATGGAACAAATGTTTTAAATGAGGAAGCTCTCTATGTATTGACAAGAAAACATGTCTAAGATACATTGCTTAGTTGATTAAAAGGAAGGCTCAAAGCTCTACGGTATGCTACTTTTGGGGTAAAAGTTAAAAGGGATATATTTTTAAATGTTTCTCTTTATATTTTCATAAAAAGGATATCTACAAGGAGAGGGGCAAATTGAGGAAATGTGGGTAGAAAATACAAAGGCTTTTCATAGAATCCCTTTCTATATTGTTTTGCTTTTTGAATCGTGATTACTGAATTTTTTCATTTTTTTAGTTTGTTAAATTTAGCGAGGTAAAATGGCTAATTACATAGGTTTCAAATGTACATTTCTATTACACATCCTCTGTATATTACATTGTGTTAAAGGTTAAAAGGGGTTAAATGTGGGGTGATGGAAGGAGATACGAACTTTTTGAAATAAGGACAAATGGTTCAGAGAGGAAGGGCTGTGAGTGGGAGCAGTCGAATCCCCACTTGTTTAGAAATCATCTTTCACCCCAGCATGGTGAGTCCAGATAACAGCATTTTACTGTATTTGCCTATTGTCGATATCTCCTTCAGCATTTCCCAAGCATCGATTTGGGAGGTCACTGCCACCTCGCCCCCAATATGAGTTTGGCATCCTGCTGCTCTTCATTTTAGAAGATGAATCTGCTGGGGGTGACCAAGGAGAGTCAGAAACTTCTGCACGACTTGAAGCTGTGGTTGTTCTCTTGAGCAACAGACGGGACACAGATGCATCACATTCTGGCCTTGAGAATGCGGGGCGCTAAGAGCCAGACCAAGAGTATGTGTGTGGGGAGACAGCTGGGCTTACCGATTGCCAGAATCAGGGGGTGGGAGAGAATGGGATACCACTTATCTCCCTCCCACTCCTCCTTCCTCATTCCAGGCCCAAACACCAGACCAGTATGTCTCCAACTGAGTAAAAAATGGGAACATGGGACAATGCCACATGTAAGGAAGGGCTGTTAGGAAACCCAAACACAGCACAATACTGATGTACTTAATTTGGTTTATGACATGCAATTTCTGTGGAATCCTGTGTTAGTATTAAAAAAAAAGGAAGAAAGGAAAAAGAAGAAAAAAAAAGAAGACCTACTCGATTAGAAATCAAGAAAACAGGAGTCCCAGACTAGAATCTGTTGCCATCTGGCGGTAGAATCTCTTGCAGGTCATCGAATTCTCTTCACCTGTGTTTCCTTGTCTGAAACAGGTGTTGAACTGCATGACCAACCTCACAGAGATTAAACAATACAAGAAGCTTGAAAAGGTATAAAGATCACTTTGGAGTTAACTGAAGGCATGTTTATTACCTGAACGGCTTATGTTTTCTTTCCTTTTAACTTGAAAAGGTTGTCAGCAAGTATAATTTGGTTTACTCTGAATCAAGTTAGGTTGTTTGTCTGGTGTGCGAGGTGTGGGGAGGACTTTTAATTCCATAGTGGAATCTTGCTTTGCATTTGTCCGAGATCCATTTCCCACACCTTTCTTCTGAGAAACGACTTTCACCCACCATCAGCCCAGTAGTCTAGGTAGTGCTGACCCCTCCCTGCTCCAGAGGTGGACATGTAATTCAGGTCTGACTCAGTGCAGCATCCTGCCTCCCTGGGCTACCGGATGGGCATGGGACCCAAGCCAGCCAATCAAGGACAATGAGTTTCAACGCAGGAGTTTATGTTGTAACTACTGCTAAGTCCTCTCTTTCCACTGGACAGTCTGTAGCCCTGGGGTTTCCAGAAGCCATCTCATTCCTGCCAGGGGACGGGGTGCCTGAGAATGATGACCAAAGAGAGAAACTCAGAGCTGAGAGGAGAGAACAAATAGAGTCTTAGTGACACTCTTGGATCCCTAGAGCCAGCTCCATCCCTGTACCTCTGTTACTTGAGTCAATAGATACCCGCCTTTCCTTTCGACAAGCTGAGCTGTGTTTCTGGTGCCTTCAACTCTGAGAGTCTTGAATGATAGAAGCTTCCGATACTAATGTTCAAGAATCTCTACAAAGGTGCCCAGATGCAAAGCTACATGTGTTATGAAAACATCAGTCTATGGCCATGCCACCCTGAACAAGCCCGATCCCGTCTGATCTTGGAAGCTAAGCAAGGTCAGGCCTGGTTAGTACTTGGATGGGAGACCACCAAGGAAGACCAGGTGCTGTAGGCGTAAAAAATGAAAAAGAAGGGATTGTAAGCTGACAAGGTCTTTGTAATCTGTGAGGTCAACCAAGGGTTGCCTTGCCTAAAAAAAAAAAAAAAAAGCAAAAGAAAAAAACATCAGGTTTAAACTACACCTTTATAAAATCCAATAAAGCTAGAACTGTTTCCTGGATAAATACACTTCATCATTACACCCAGTGACATTATAGGTTAACAGAGACACAAACTACTAAAATAAAGAAATATTTCATTTTATTTTACTCTTTCTGCCATGAGGCAATGCAAACTCATGGAAATTAGAAATAATACCAAAATGTGGATAAGACCAGCTTTAGAGGTTGCATGGAATCAGGAGAATGTGATTGTCTGAATTTTGGCCTCCTCAGATTGCCAAGCCCGCGGTACATTTTGTCTAGCCCATGTGACAATGTCTGTGGTAAATGTCCAGGCTGAAGACAGTTGTCATAGGGTGGTGAAGCCCAAACAACTGAAATGTTCACAGTATACAATGCAAAACAGTCAACATTACTGGATGAGACAGACTATTGGTTTATCCCTTAACTAGTAAACCAGAGTGAATCTCATTAGGCAGCACTACAAATATCCCTAGTCATTCTTTTATTTGTTCACTCAATCATTCATGCATTCAGTGAGTATTTATTAAGCACCTACTGTGTACCCAGAGGTACCTGGTTAAATGCTGGAATTATAAAGAGAAAGATGAAGGCACATGCTCTGTCTTCGAGGAGCTCCCAATCTAATCTTGCAGGCAGACGTGGGCATGAAGAATGACAGTACATTATAAGAAGTGCTGATAACAAGTCTGTTCGAAGTGAGAACCACCAAGAATTCATTCATCTACAGGTTCCATAGTGAAGGTACGTGGTGTTCCTCCTCTTCTTTGGAATAATGAACGCTTGACACGGCTTTCATCGGTCTTTCATTTCCGGTGTGACAATGGGGATCCATGGCATTATGACAAGTTACAACAGATGCAGAAATGGTTATCAGGTTCCTACTCTGAGCACTCAGGGGAGACAGCATGTCATTGCAAAGCTCCTGACTCATGTTTTACACAGTGTGCAAACGTGCAGCTACAGGCATTACAAGGGGGAGCAAATGAACTGCACCCTGCTAACTGTCTCCTTTCTCCTCTCCATCTGGGACCTGTGTTCTCTTCAACATGTTCACAGGCATGAAATGAATTTGAGATGTTAAGTTTCAGCTTCTGAGTCAGACTGCATATCAAGTTATGCCAGTGACAATAAAGGCTGGCTTTATAAATGGTATTTTTAATGATGTTCACAGGTTGGCTTTGCAGACGTTTTATATGAAGCAAAAGTCTCCTTTGCACAATCCTACCTCCCACAAATATTCCCTGAGACACACTTTCCCCTCGTCGTTCGTCTAGCAAAGATAGCAACCCAGACTCCGGTGAGGTTTTCCTGTTAGATGGAAAACCTTTCCATTTTACCCGGTTGTTATAAGGTTTCTGATTTCTCATCAACCTCGCTGAATCCATCCCACCTGAAATTATTCTCATGACAGACAGCCAAGGAACAACAAAGTTAAAAGCTCCAGCTCTTGTGAGCAGGGAGGTTAAGCAGGGCGGAATTTGAATACTGAGGTCTTCGGTGTTCACTTAGAGTTAACGTACATAGTGGTATTAAGGCTTATCGATAGAACCATTTTGCTTAGTTGATCTAAAAATCAGTTTCTTAGTTAGTGTTAATTTATTAACTAAATCTTTATGATTACCATAAATTGAATTTTAAAAATGCTCTGATATAAAAATATACAGTTCATTATCTAAACACGAAATTTAAAAATGAATTTCCCAATTTTATGTTTTAATAAATTCCTCATTTAGTGTATTTCCAGAAATCACTCACACGCACACAAACAACAAAACAGAATCTGTACAAAAATAAGAGCTCTGTTTTCTGTAACACCTCATCTTTTCTGTAATGAATTTGTGAATATAAAAAAAGTATCTATTTAGAAAATTATAAAAACATTGCTACAATGTCATAAATGCTCTACATTCTCTAGGAAAACATACCTTTGCAAACAGTACAACTACTGGGAATTCATAATGAAACTTGAGTCCTCAGTGTGCCGCAGATGCATGCCACTCAGCAGCATTATAACCCTATCTGTCCCCTATACCATTCCTAGAAATTGTCTGTGACCGTCACTGAGTGAGGTGTAATTCTTCGTTCTTCAAATGTCATCATTGATTTCTGTGGATATCCTTAGGGTAACCCCCTATTAAAAAAAAAAAAAAGAAAAGCAAAAGAAGAAGAAGAAGAAAAGAAAAAAGGTTTAAAAGAAGGTAAACAATTCCAGCGCCAGCTATGAAATTCCAACAGCTTTGTAGCCCCTAAGAGGTCACCTCGCTATAGTTTGTGCTGAGCTTCAGTTGGATCCTAAAGAATCTTCTTGGCTTTCTATATCCTTTTAGCTAATAATTAATTCACTTGTTTCAAAATGTAAGATTTTTACCTGTAGCCAAATCTGATAAGGTCTCACCTTCTCCCTGTCTTGGGAACATTTTTCAACAACGCACTTATTTTTTTTAAAAGATATATTTCCTATTATTTGGAACCAGTAAATGCAACAACCTCAAAAAATAAATAAATAACCAGGATGTATGACTAGAAGCATTGACCAGCTGAGGACACAGAAAGATTTCGTGGGTTGGGAGAGCTATTAAAGATGCTTGCCTTTAGGAATAAACTAAGTGGTACAAGACATTTTTTCAAACACATAAAGATGAAAAGGAATGCTCTGTGTTATGCAAGAAATTTCCTATGAATTTTTACAATCCTCATTGTCAGCAATTTGTAACATTTGAATAAATAAATACCTACCTGGAAATCATGGATGAATGTTAGGAAGTAGAAAATAAAACCAAAGGCCACTGTCCATTCACAGATCGCACTCACTACGTGATATACATAATCCTAAGAGCAATGATAAAGAAACAGAATTTAGCCGAAATCCATTCACGTTAGTGGAGGTGCTGACATAATAAGGAGAAGATCAGACCTTAGGAAAAAGCCCTGTGAGGAAATACAGCCAGCAAGGCATGTAGGTGAACGGCAGGGCCCCTGCCCAATGAGAACATAAATGTACTAATTCCAAAAGTGCTTTCTGCTTCTCACACACTCTGGCTTTAAGACTTGCCTATATAATGTTTCAAAACGCAGAATAAGGAACACAAAATGCTGAGACTGGAAAGCAAATGTGGACTCAGCAGAAGACAGAACGTTTCATACAAGGCAAGACTTGCTCTCCTAAGGATGGAAAACCCCAAGTTGAAAGGCATTCAGCGTTTGTGCAGTTATTCCAAAGAATGAGTGTGTATGCACAAGAGGAAACTGGCTGACTGTCACCAGGGTTTTGTGTTTCTCCACCACTATAGAAAATGTCAGATCAGAAAACAGTTTGCTTAACGTTATAAACATAGCTACAAAGTAAATGTGAATGAAGACATCTACGCATTCACTATCTTCTTGGGGGTTAGGAATGAGAACAGAAGGCAAGAATGAGAATGGATTAAATGGGAGGCATGTGTGTGGCGGGGGGGCGGTGTTTCCCAAGTCAGCTGCCTATGGAGGCCAGGAGATGCTTAAAAGTAAATGAGGCTGATGGTCACAAAAAGAGAAGGAAGATGGAGACTTCGCGCTGTATTAGCTCAATTTCATTTTCAACAAATGGGAAATTAAGACCCCAGTGTTGCTTTCAAAGAGGTAAAAAGAAAAGTCCGTGTGTGTGTGTGTGTGTGTGTGTGTGTGTGTGTGTGAGAGAGAGAGAGAGAGAGAGAGAGAGAGAGAGATTCTGACTTTTAAATGTTGAAAACTGCTTTTAAAAACACCGTCTAATTAAAAAATAACATCTTCATTCTGACGTTAGCCCACTTGCTAAATCAGGCCTGTGGACTGTCAGGTCGACCCCTCTGATTTCAAATAATGACCTATTTTTTTCCTACTTCGTTTTCTGCTTGGCTGTAGGTTACAAGTGTGAATAAACAAATGTGCTGGGTTGCAGGTCGGTTCTATGGTGACAGTTGTTTCCCTTGATCCAATTTCCATCCGCAAAGACTTAATCAAGACACATCAAACTCTCATAGACACCTGTCCTTGCTCTTCTCATCCAGGCCACACCAAGGAGGACCTGACCAGTTTACATTAAGGGGTAGAGAACAGACGCCGCCTCCTTTTGGCGACAGCACCCGGGGATCCGCCCCATCCCGTACAGTCCCTGGGCAATGAAGATAACTCATAAAATTTTGGCAGAAGTTTCTTTAGTATATTAATGAAAGTGCACTGAACCAGAAGTCCAGACTCGTCCACTAACACCTGTGAGTGCAGGCAAAGCTCTAATCTCCTTGCTATGTAAAATGAGACAATGGCATAATTCTTGCCCCTCCTACCAACTAAATCAACGCCCGGGGATGCCCTTCGAAAGCTCTAAAGCACCACAGTTAGCTGGGGCAGTGCCTAAAAGATTGTTCTGTTCAGTGAATTAATGTAAAGGATTTTCTTTGTATGCATTGATATTGGGAACAGAAAGTAATACAAGAATGACATGGTAACTTATGGAGTGAATAGAAAACTAGGTACTCTTCACATTTTTAAGATTAAAATGAAGAAAAGATTTTTAATTAAAGGGATATGCTTTGATGAATCCTTCCCAGCTGCTGATTTGTTGGATTTGTGGGGGAATATCTCCCCCTAGTGGTTAAAAAATTAAGTACACCTTAGGCTGCTCTGTCCTGAGGTCTCCCTTTCGGGAAGCACCTTTTCTTAAAATTTCTGTCTGAGTCATTCTCTTCTTCAACATCTTCAGTCTCTCCCTGGTCTCCTGCAGGCTTCCTTCGCACGCCAGGTGGCATGGCCCCTTCTAGCCACCATCTTATTTCTCCTCTTTCTCTCACCTCCAAACATTCATGAATAGCTGAAGAAATGAATCGCTCCTCTCACCATTTCTTTAACCCCTGCGATCGGCTTTTAACGCCAACATTTCTAACTGAAACTGATTTTTTGAAAAACAGCAGTATTTCCACCCGCCCCTTGAACACACATTCCTGCCGTTCTCTCGCTACCCCTCTTCTCTCCCGGCGGCATTCATTCTCCACGTGGCATCTAAAAGAAGCACCGCCATGATGGCCTGAGCCCCAAACACTCCACCCAAACACTCGGTTCCATGTGTTCCGATGTTTGGTCTGGAAATGACCAGTCACTCTACCCTATGCTTTGACGGCTCTCAACCCTACCAGAAGGTTCAGTCCCACATGTCCTACTGGACATTTCTCCTTGGTGATTCACTATCGCTCCAGATGCAATGATTCTAAAACCAAACCCATCCACCTCCCCCCATGAAATAATGTATTCCTGTTAGGGCCCTGATCTCTCATTCTGTTCATGGAACGAATTCTTTGGTTCACCCAAGATAAAAATTTGGGAAATCATCTTTGATTCATCTTGTCCTTTCATTTTCATGTTAGTCACCTGCCAGGACTCACCAAATATTTTTCCTTTATTACTTCTGACCTAGGCTAATCTTGATGTGAAATCTGAACTAACAGCAAGAACTGCCTTCTGCCATCCTACCTCTAGGCTTCCTCCTCTTCAATCCATCCCAAGTTTTGCTTCTAACTAATATTCATCCAATAATATTCTTTCGATTTACTTTCCTATTCAAAAGCCTTCGAAAGCTTACTCTCGTCACCTAAGTGAAGCATGAGCCTCTCTGCCCACCTCTTAAAGCCTTGCGTAAACTACTCCAAGATTCACCCCTCACCCCATTTATGTTTTTATTTTATCCTGAAACAAACTATCTACTCTACCAGAGCCGGTTTTGTCCCATCTGCTTAACACCCCATGCTTCCTCTGGCCTCCAAACACCTTCAGTCAACACTGTTCCTACATCCATAATCGTCTGACCTTTCTCACTTACCATAGATGGTTTAAATGTTTAGGAGAGAATTAGGAATTCAAAACTTTGAAACTAATCCCAGGAACCTTCTGAGATTACCCTGAGAGCTAATTATGACCACTCATTGCCAAATAACTGACAGTTAATTATGCCATATTTACTCCATATTTTGCAACTTGTTCGAAGAAATGGCAGTGATCCTTTCTAAGAAGGCTTCACCCAGCCACAGTCCACATAGGCAGGTTTGACAATTATATTGAAAATGACTTCAGTCTTACCTTTTCTTTTGGATTCCACTCCAGCTTGGTTATAGAAATTAGTGAAGCACAGGCAATCACTAAAAAAAAAGAATTGTTAAGGAAAGTACAGAAGAAAACATGTCCTTTAATGGTAAGACTAAATTATTTTCTAATAATTTAATAATTATACAGTGTTAAAATGTTTTACCTCACATCTATTAGGATGGCTACTATAAAAAAGCACACACACAAAAAAACAAGTATCGGCGAAAATTTGGAGAAACTGGAACTCTTGTGCACTGTTCATGAAAATGTAAATTGGTAACTCTGCTGTGGAAAACAGTATAAAGGTTCCTCAAAAAATTAAAAATAGAATACCATATGACCCAGCAATTCCACTTCTGGGTATATAGCCCACAGAATTGAAAGCAGAGCCTCAGACATAGTTGTGTATCTGTGTTCACAGCGGCATTATTCACAATAGCTAAAACATGGAAGCAACCCAAGTGTCCATTGACAGATGACTGAATAAGCAAAATGTGGTATATACATACAGTGGAATATTTTTCAGGTTTAAAAAGGAAATTCTGCAATATGCTCCAACATAGATGAGGCTTGAAGACATTATGTGAAATAAGCCAGTTACAAAAAGACAAGCCTGATGTGATTCCACTTAAATGAAGTACTGAGAGTAGTCAAAATCATAAAGACAATAGAACAGTGGTTGCCAGGGGCTGAGGGCCAAAGGGACTTACAGTTTAATAGGCACAGATTTTCAATTTAACAAGATAAAAAAATTACAGAATAGATAGTGGTGATGGTTGGACAACAGTGCGAATGTATTTAATACCACCAACCTGTGTACTTAAAAACGGTTAAGATGATAAATTTTATGTTATGCAATGTATATTTTAACGCAATAACAAAATGTTAATACCAACATTTCTGCAGTCAAATCAGGCCGTATAAGCTTCTTATAACCTCAGACTTTAAATTCAGTTATGACAGCAGTTAAATTACAATATGTAAATAGTCCTCAGCAATATTTTTTAGTTACACATAGAGAAATTTTACTTTGCAGCTGTTTTCCTCGACCCTGAATATTTGTAAGTGTCATTCCCAGCTACAATGGTTGTTTAAATTTGGTCAAAATGTCTGACGCTACAGTCCAAGATTAATACTTTCCGAGTACTTTTTACCTAAAACACTATTTTTCGTTAATAAAAATATTGAATAATACTTTTCCCCTAAAATAGTATTTTCAAAGCAACAATTTTATGGAAAAATTAACCTTTCAAAGTACTAAAGCATTACAAAGTATCAAGGCTCATATAGAAAAATAAGCTACAGAAATTAAAAATGTTATCTTTAAAAAAAGAGATTTCTGTTGAGTAATTAAGTATAAGCTAAGCCTTTCCTCCTCAAACCAAAGGGTTTTACAAATCAAAGAGATACGCCCCACACCTGACCTTGGGGCCAGCCTAATAATGCCTGGGACGAGGCTCTCGCCCTCCATGGACACTGCTGTCTGCGCAAAGGCAGTGACAAACATTTGGAAGCAAAAGAGCAACGAGATGCTCTAAAAAAGGTTTTACGAAAAGTTAGAAATTCGAAGTGCTGCGTCGATGCCGAGTTTAGAGCGCCCCCTAAAATCAGAGTCAGCGCCTCCTCTCTCTCAGCCCTCCAACCCCGTATTTTGCAAAGCGTAACACTTCTCGGTTTTTTAATATAAATGAAGTAGAAAGCATAGCAGATTCTCTGATCCTTTCAAGGATCAAACTTCTGTTTCTAATCGTTTTAAAGCCCCTTAATTCTTTCACTGATCTGTTCTTCTTTTATTTATTTTTTATTTTTCAGGCGAGGCAACCCTTGGTTGACCTCACAGATTGCAAGGACCTTGTCAGTTTACAATCCCTTCTTTTTTATTTATATTTTACGCCTATAGCACCTGGTCTTCCTAGGTGGTCTCCCATCCAAGTACTAACCAGGCCCAATCCTGCTTAGCTTCTGAGATCAACCGGGATCAGGCTTGTTCAGGGTGGCATGGCCGTAGTCACTGAGCTGTTCTTTAGTTCCACATTCTGGGCACCAGGTACCATGCTGAATGGGGCAGAAGGAAGAGGCAGGGAAACCCTTGGCCAAACAGACTTGGTCTCAGCTCCCAGAGACATCACAGTCTTGTTGAAGGAGGCCCAGGACTGTGCCATGTGAGAGAAAAAAACAAGGCACAGCGATGCGTCAAGGGGAAAAGTATTAATTCAGAGTAGAAGGAGTTTGGGGCGTCAGGGAAGGCTCCACTGAGTTGAATTTAATTTAAAATGTGAGGTTCGAGGAGCAGCACCATCCCACAGAAATATAACGCCAGCCACATAAATTTAAAATTTTCTACTATAGTAGCCGCATTTCAAGAAAACTAAAAAGAGCCAAGTGAAATTAATTTTAATAATATAGCTCCTTTAACCCAATAGATCGACAATATTATCATTTCAATGTGTAATCATACAAAGAATTATTAATGAGCTATTTCACATTCTTTTTCTCATTAGGTCTATGAAATCTGGTGTTGTGTTTTACACTACAGCATGTCTCAAATGTGGACAGCAGGTCTCTCTGTGAGCTAGTCACATTTCAAGAGTGCAATATGTGGCTGGTGGCTACCATATTGGACAGACAGTTCAGCTCCAGAAAGACAAGGTAGAGGGGAGAATCCAGCCAGGAGAAAGGCAGGGGGAGAAAGTAGAAAACAGAAAACAGCTAAGTCTGGGGGAGAAGCGTAAAAATGAGGTCAAAAAAATAGGTAATCTCAGAGCATGTGTCTCAAGCAAAGGAACCTGGACTTTGTGCTGTTAGTGATTTTGTGAAGGTTTTTGAACACCGCAGAAGCTGGGGCAAGACACGCAGTTTACCACGGAGGGCTCTGAAGCCTGATTCTAATGTACCTCAGTTTCTTCAGTAGTCAAATAAGGCCATTTCACAGAAATATTACAATCAAGAGAAACAAGGGCATTTTAAAGATGCTTTGACATCTTTGGTAGGAAATAGCAATACCACGCTAATGCTTAAAAGACTTTTTCGTATGGATGAATTTGTTCGAGTTAATTTGATACAGAGACATACCCTATATTTGTGTGGGGCTGCAACCTCTTGGCATAGCTCATAAAACCCTCTAGAAATGGGAGCTATTAGTATGTGAAATTCTGAACTTATTCTACTAAAACTCTCTGCTATTTTAATATCTAGAGATGTCTCCAAAGATGGAAGCAAAAGAAGGTTTCCTACACCAAGAAACTTTTCATTCAACACTGCAAACACTTCTGCTCTGAATTTTATAGCTAACACAAGCGAAAGGTCTTAAAATGACATATTTGAAGAGAAAGCATGAATGTCTTCAATCCATACACAGGACAAGGAACCTGAGAAGGAACTATCTCAGGAATCAGGGTATATATTTTGTTGTTAAATTTCTCAATAGTAGGATTTGTTTGATTAAAAATTTTGTAATTAAAAATTTTCTTCCCTAAGGTGAAAAAATAAATCCCAAACCATACACATACTTCACATTTTGTATAGCTTCTATTTAAAAAGAGCAACAGAGGACATGGTTCCATAGTGGAGCAGTTAGCACATCTGCTTTACATGCAGAAGGTCCTGGGTTGGAGCCACAGTCCATGCCACCATGAACAAGCCCGATGTCTGATCTTGAAAGCTAAGCAGGGTCGGGCCTGGTTAGTACTTCGATGGGAGACCACCTAGGAAGACCTGGTGCTGTAGGCATAAATAATAATAAATAAAAATAAAAAGAGAAACAGAAAACTTAATATTGAGAAATGCATGGTGCGCTCTTACTCAAGCTTGTCCACTTTATACCACAATCTGACCCAGACTAACAAAATTCTCACTCATAAAATAGTTCCCGTTTTCCCGTAATGTGACAGTAGTCACCATTTTTAATGACTCTGTAGCTTTCTCTAATATGAGTGCAGATGGTATTTCGAAAGACGGAGAATTTTCCACCCCTTGAAGACCACAGCTTTTTTATTCTTTGTGAAATACTGACAGACAGACAGACAGAGCAAGTAAGCTTTCATTTCCTATAAATCAGAACACACAAGCCTGATAAATTCATATTTTCTTTTCACATTGTGGAATTAGAAAATGAAGTGAAATTTTGAAAACGAAATCAGTAATAAAAAAGAAAAGGCTAAATATATTCTAACTGACTTAGAAATAAATAATCCAAGAGTTTTTTTAAAAACCTCTTAATACGGATGACTAAATCAAACTATCTAATCACCTACGTGCCTCTTAGCACTTCACAGGGCTATTACTTTAAGTGCACTACCAATATTTGGTGTCTTTAGCCGAGCATTACAAAGAAAACTAAATATTTTCACATGGCGGGTGAAAGTGACCCTGTTGGAAGAAAAGTAAACAGAGACTGAAGTTTGCCCACATTCTTCCATCCTCCTTCATACAATTCTGTTCCCCAAAGATTCTTTGGAAAGATTAAGAAGATGCTGAGACATTTTCTTAATGATTTACACTCTTCTCTCAATGGTTGTTCTGAAGCACATGGAAACTTGGCTGTTAACCTTTGTGCTTTTTTTCTTAGGGGGTGGGTCGGTGAAGGTGTCAAGCTTGCCAGGACACCGACACATGTGAAAAGGATACTGGGGACCACAGCTGCACAGGAAACGGCGGAGATAGCCATCCTTACATGGCACGTGGAGAGGCTGTTCCACTGGGGACACGATTTGTAAGAGATGACAGATTGCAGAAGTGTGTACACGACACCGCAGACAAAAGCCAGAAGGGCCCCGCCGTCGTGGACCACGGGGACAGCTAACTCCTAGAGAGAGAGTCACAAAGGCACATTACTCCCCATGAGTCTGTCCACACCAAGACCCAAGTGCTCACTCACCCTGGGCTGCTCAGAGTCACTGGTCCTCGATATTGCACTCACCCCCCGACCTTTGTTAAATGCAGCTGCTTGCAGATTACCAAGGCAAAGGCCTTCCCCTATGATGAAGTAAATGTTGTTCCACAGCAAACGTGGGCACATGGGACAAGGACAGAGTGACATCTATCTTAGAGGTGGCAGAGTTGAGTATGGTGGTAGGCTTTGGAGTCTGGCTGACCTGGATAAAAATTTCTTGACTCTACCACTGGACTCTTGGTTTAAAACCTCAATCTGTGTATCTGTAAAACGGGCATAATAATTTCTGCCTTGCAGGTTTTGCTGTGAAGATTATATGATAAATTACATATAAAAGTTCTCAACTTGTTCTGTGCAGGTGCCATGGGTGGCTTGAGGATTTTAGGCTCCCTGCTCCCCAATAACCTCTATTAGTCCCTCCCAAACCATCCCAAATGAACACACAAATTTAAGCAAAAACACTGCTTTTGAAATGCAAAGACAGTGTCAAACCCAAGTCCCCAGCCCTCACCTTCTTCTAACCAGACATTTCAACAAGAAGGCAGCTGCTACACCCATTCTAGATGGCAAGTCTGATGTTGGCCCCAGACGTGCTCATCGAGGCACCTACCTTCCAATATAACAATGACATTTAGATTGAATGACTGGTCTCCCCTTGAACTTAAAAATTCAAGCTTTGCAAAGGAGCAAGTTATATTGTCCAAGACAACCTGGTTTTGGTCTCAGACCCATGTCGGCGCCAATTCACTCTCTACGCCTGTTCCCCAGACTTGTCTTCAACCTGGGCCACCCAGGTTTTCCCAGAACCAGCGTTCTCCATCCAGACTGCCCATGAAAAAACTCATTTAAAATCAGATCGAATTCCTAACCACTTCTAGTTCGGTACTGCCTGATTTCAATCATTTTCACTCAGATAAACTTTTTAAGAAAATTTTTATTCTCCACATGGGAAAGGGAAATTTTTAAAAAATTTAAATTTGTTTTCTAAGGAAATGTATTTCCTGGTATCAAACTTAAGAATATAGGGAAAAGCCCACTATCTGATTTGTGTTATATTCAAATATGAATGCATTAACATTCTGCAACATGGCATACCAATTATTCATTTATTATGTATAGACTCTATATATTTAGGATACCTAGCATGGGCATATAGATTTAGGGAAGTTATATATGAAAAAATAAAACACATTCAATGCCTTTTAAAATGTGTGTATGCCTCTAAATATTTAAAGAATTAAGGAAAATAACTACTGAACTGTACAATTAAAAATGGTTAAGATGGTAAATTGTATATTATATATACTTTACCACAATTAAAAATAATCCAAAGGAAATGAAATCACCATCTTAAAAAGACATATGCACCACTATGTTCATTGCAGCTTTATTTACAACAGTCAAGGGATGGAAACAACCTAAGTATTCACTGAGGGACGAATGGATAAAGAAGATATAGTACACACACACACACGCTCTCTCTCTCTCTCTCTCTCTCTCTGAAATATTATTCAGCCATAAAAAAGAAAAATCTTGCCATTTACAACAGCATGGATGGGTCTGACGGCGTTATGCTAAGTGAAATAAGTCAGACAGAGAAAGACCAATACTACATGATCTCACTTATATGTGGAATCTAAAAAGACAAAATGAAACAAAACAAAAAACAGATACAGTAAACAGACTGGTGGCTGCCAGAGGCGGGAAGTGGAGGGGTGGGGGAAATGGGTGGACGTGGTCAAAGGGTAAACATTTGCCGTTCAAAGATAAAAACTTTTCAGTTATATATAATGTACAGCATGGTGACTATATTTAACAAGTGCATTTTTAAAAGTTGCAAAGAGAATAAATCTTAAAAGTGCTCAGCACGAGAAAAAAAAATGATAACTGCGAGGTGATGGATGTTAACTAAACTTATTGTGGTAACCATTTCACAATATAGACATAAATCAAATCACTACGTTATACACCTCGGACTAACACAAAGTTATATGTCAAAGATATCTCAATTGGGGAGAAAAACTATATCAAACCAAAAAAATAATAACAAAAGAGTCCTTTTCACCCTTGAATGTTAGAAATACTTGGGCAAGAGAAAATAAAAAGCAAGGCGTCTACTGCTAATGAGTCATTTTCAAGAATACTCTTCCGAGAATCCTGGTTCTTTCCACTCTCCACTTTCTTTCTGTGCTAACAAAGTCAATATCCTGAATTTACATACTTTGTCCTCCCCACCACCAGCACTACCAAGGAATTTGCCTCCTCTACCCTGGTCAAGTCAATATAGCCTTTAGGATCTTAATCTGCAAATGTCATGCCCCTCCACCCCACGTCAACCCTGACCTTATCAGATCAAAGGCCCTTGACTGAGTGAAAGTTGTATCTGTAATGTGCTTTTCCCCTGTGAAAAAGGCACGTTACAAATACATACCCTCTCATCGAAGATACCTCTACCAGGGAAAATGATTCTCAAATAAACATGAATCTTGGACAGAGGGTAAGATAAAAACCTGGAGCCCTTTTTGGATCTCTTTCCCCAAACCCTCTTGGTAATTTAAAAGATAGTTAAAATAGAGAAAACTAGAATATTGAGGGGGTTAAACATTAGAAAACTTGACTTTTCCAGAAAGGAATCTTCTTGAGGAAAAGTAAAAGACTGACAGAGATTGGTGAGGACACACCAAAAGGCAGCCCTCCCACCCACCGGTTTGGGAAAGGGTGTTATCAGTGCACTTCCGGCAAATGCACTGTTCTTCCTACTGAGGAGAACCCACCAGAGTCAACGCTCTCTGTTGCCCTGATATTTCTAATTCTTCTTGAGGTAACAGCAGCTCAAGTTGGTTTGCTCATGGCATGCTGAAAATGAATTACAGGATATCAAACAAGGAAGTCGTAAAGATATATTTATAGGAACAATGACAAGACAAACACTTCGCTCTCGGGAAAGTTACAGATTCTATTTCTGGTTTTTGTAAAAATGTAATCATATCACGGAAACCTGAAAGAGAACCAAAAGTTCAATTATCTAACCATCTAAGTGTTTTTCCCTAAAGTCTGGACTTTGTGGTTTAAAAATTGACAGCTGTCTCACTTAGAAGGTTGAGTGATTTGGAGAATAACTACGCCCACTGAACAATTCACATCCACACCGCACCAGACAAATCATATCATTCCTGGTCTCCCTTTCTCTCTACCTTTTTTTCATTGTGCTTTCTGACACTAGAACTGTGTGAATTGTGACATGCTTTTTTCTCACAGAGATTTCCCCACTCTGGCA